CTGTACGCTGTACTCATGTTTACGATAACACCGATATATATTTGAGTACTGCAACACCCAGACACTCATGTCAGTGTCAGGCTATACACTGCACCTCAAGAAACTCTATACAGAGGAAAATCAGCGCAAAGAGCAAACATCCAGCTCTACAGTATATGTAAGGAGCACTATTAAAACATATAATATAATGACATAAAAGTCCAATGTAAGACTAAAAGTCCATAGAGCACTAGGGCCAGCTTCATATAGTAGTAGCAAACTCTGTATGGAAGTAAGAAGAAAGAAGTGCCTCTAAGTGCAGTATAAGACGATATTTATTGGTAAACAATGTAGAACCACTCACATTGTGTAAAATCAAGGTAAGCTCAACTAGGTAGGTGGATGGCTGTGTCCTTGCCGTGTCAGCCACGTCCGCACCAAGAAGACCGTAGAGGTGTCAGGGTTGCCAGCTGGCATGTGTCGTCTTCAAAAGATGTCATCTGGAACACACCTTGGAGCGCAATGTCGGCGTCAGCATGATGATGTGTGTGGACCAGCATGCATAGCGACACGTTTCAGAGCATGCGCTAAAGCACTAAGGGCAGAAGTGCGCTCTCTTATCAAGCTTGAAAATGCGTTGCTATGCATGCTGGTCCACACACGTCATCACGCTGACGCCAACGTTCCGCTTAGTGCGGATGCGGCTGACACGACAAGGACACAGCCATCCACCTACCCAGTTGAGCTTACTTTGATTTTACACAATGTGAGTGGTTCTACATTTTTTGCCAATAAATATCGTCTTACACTGCACTTAGAGGCGCTTCTTTCTTCTTACTATTATACACTGCACCTCAGCAGAGGAAATACACATTGCAAATATGCTGAACGGGCTCTTTACGTCTGGAGGAAAAGAAATTTAATCTCCAAACATGGAAAGGTTTCTTCACAGTAAGAGCTGTGAAAATGTGGAATAGACTCCCTCAAGAGTTGATTCTGACCAGCTCAGTGGATTGCTTTAAAAAAGGCCTGGATTCTTTCTTAGATACACAGAATATAACTGGATACTAACATTTATAGGTAAAGTTGATCCAGGGAACATCCGATTGCCTCTCGGGGGATCAGGAAGGAATTTTTTCCCCTGCAGGAGCAAATTGTATCTTGCTTTGCTGGGGGGGGGTTTTTTTGCCTTCCTCTGGATCAACTGTGGGTATAGGATTATAACTTTTTTTTTTTTTAATGGTTGGACCGGGTGGACTTTTGTCTTTTTTCAGCCAGACTAACTATGTACTATGTACCTATGTAACTATGTGCAAGAGCCCTTAGGATACCAGATGAGAACCCTTTCTTTTGTTATTTAGTTGCATATAATTGCAGTCATCATTTCTGACAGAAAGCAGCTTAAAGGATAAGTTCACCTTTGGGAACATGTTACATGTTTCACCTGTTTTTAGGGTGGTAACATGTTCCCAATGCTGCAGCCGATGCCTGCTGTGCCCCCCCCACCCTGTGACAGAAGTATGGGGAGAAGTTCCCCGTACAAGCTGCCACTTTTTAAAAACAGCACAGCCGTGCGGGGCTCCGACCACACAGCCACATCATTCATTCACAAAGTTTCTGTGAATGAATAAACTACAAGTCCCCATGGCCTTAGCGGCTGTTGGCTTGTAGTTCTCAATGAAGTTGAATGAATGTAGTTTATTGAATCTTCCTGTCAGTATACCTTCTTGCCTGTACATCATATACAGGAAATCAGATATATTGACAGGTCTGCAGGAGACCTACATGGCACCAGCGATCTACTGATCGCTGGTACAAGGCTTTGCAGGCTCCTGCAACCATAAATAATAAATGCACATTTTTTTACTTTAAAAAAAAATGTGCATTTATAATTTTTGGTCAAAAGGTGAACTTATCCTTTTAAAGTGGTTGTAAACTCTTACATACAGTTGCAAGAAAAAGTATGTGAACCCCTTGGGATTCCGTGGAGTTTTGCATGAATTAGGCATAAAATGTGCTCTGAACGTCATCTAAGTCACAACAATAGAAGAACACAGTCTGCTGAACATAATACTACACAAACATTAGATGTTGCCATGGTTTAATTGCACATAACATGTAAACATTCACAGTGCAGGGAGGAAAAAGTATGTGAGGCCCTAGCTTAATGACTTCTCCCAGAGCTAATTGGAGCCAGGAGTGAGCCAACCTTGACTCCAATCAGCGTGATGATATTGGATGTGTTGCTGACAGCTGTCCTGCCCTTAAAAAACACACACCTGTTTTGGGTTTACTGGTTTCAAGAAGCACTGTCTGATGTGAACCATGCCTCGCAGAAAAGAGCTCTCAGAAGACCTACGATCAAGAATTGTTGACTTGCATGAAGCTGGAAAGGGTTACAAAAGTATCTCCAAAAGCCTTGATGTTCATGTGTCCACAGCAAGACAGACTGTGTACAAATGGAGAAAGTTTATCACTGTTGCTACTCTCCCTAGGCGCGGTCGTCCTGTAAAAATGACTGCAAGAGCACAGCGCAGAATGCTGCATGAGGTAAAGAAGAATCCCAGAGTGTCAGCTAAACACCTACAGAAATCTCTGGCACATGCTAACATTTTTACTGACACATCTACAATAAGGAAAACATTAAACAAGAATGGAGTACATGGGAGGACACCACGGAGGAAGCCATTGCTGTCCAAAAAGAATATTGCAGCACGTTTGAAGTTTGCAAAAGAGCACCTGGATGTTCCACAGCACTACTGGCAAAATATACTGTGGACAGATGAAACCAAGATTGAGTTGTTTGGGAAGAACACACAACACTATGTGTGGAGAAAAAAAGGCACAGCACACCAACATCAAAACCTCATCTCCACTGTGAAACATGGCGGAGGGAGCATCATGGTTTGGGTCTGCTTTGCTGCCTCAGGGCCTGGACGGATTGTTGTCATTGATGGGAAAATGAATTCCAGAGTTTATCAAGACATTTTGCAGGAAAACGTACGACCATCTGTCCGCCAACTGAAGCTCCGCAGAGGATGGGCGATGCAACAGGTCAATGACCCAAAGTATACATGTCATTCAACAAAACAATGGCTGCAACACCACAGAATACGCCTTCTGGAGTGGCCCAGTCAGAGTCCTGACCTCAACCAGATTGAAATGCTGTGGCATGACCTTAAGAGAGCGATTCACACCAAACATCCCAAGAATATTGCTACACTGAAACAGTTTTGTGAAGAGGAGTGGTCCAAAATGACTCCAGATGGTTGTGCAGGTCTGATCTGCAACTACAGGAAACGTTTGGTTGAGGTTATTGCTGCCAAGGGACGGTCAACCAGGTATTAAGTACAAAGGTTCACATACTTTTTCCTCCCTGCACTGTGAATGTTTACATGTTATGTGCAATTAAACCATGGCAACATGCAATGTTTGTGTAGTATTATGTTCAGCAGACTGTGTTCTTCTATTGTTGTGACTTAGATGACGTTCAGAGCACATTTTATGCCCAATTCATGCAAATCTCCATGTAATCCCAAGGGGTTCACATACTTTTTCTTGCAACTGTATACTTAGTGCAGTGACTGGCCTCAGGTGATATAAAGATTAAACAAATCATCCTACGTAAGTTGTACCTGTTTATCTGTAGCACTCACATCTTTACAGCCTTATGTTCTCACATATCCTCCCTGCTGCGGTGTTCTAATCTGTCTAAGCTCTGAAGTTGGCTGAATACTGTCAGGAGCAACCCCCCTATGTGACAGCATTTGGGCCTGGTAATTGGCAGCTTTGGCCCAAGCACTGTCACATGTCTACCGACAGCTGCATGGACAGAGTGACAATATCTCTTTAAAGTTGGCCATACAAAGTAGGAATTTTTGATAGTCTAAATATTTCAGTACAGGTATGCCAAATGGTGTTAGTGGGACACTAATAAAAAAAAAAAGGAAATTTAAAAAATAGTTTAACACTCACAGACTATCTGCTGGATAGAAAAATTGCATGTCTACCCATGGTTTAGCGATAATTTAATGGAGGTGGGTCAGCACTGCACATTTCTTCCAAAGTGGAGGCTATAGCAGAAACAAGACTGTATATGTTGGGGAAAATGGGACATTTCAAGGGTCCCATCATTTTTATTTTCCTTTGTCTATGGCCAAATCAAAATAATCTTTGCTAATCTTTATTCTTCATCTCACCATTTTGATTCCAGATAATTAAAGTCAAGTTCAAATTGGCTGAGTACATCACCACCTAAGACATAAAAAATGTATGTTTAAACAAGGTAGTAGATGCATTATAATTATTCAACAGAAAGAGACCCTAGTAACTTTTTACCTGACAAGAATATCTGTTCATAATTGGAAGAGATGTTGTATTGAAATTATATTTGCTGTTTAATATGAATAAGTTCGCACTAGCCCATTCTCTGAAAAGCGATCCACTGTGGATTGCTTTTCAGAGAATGGCTAAGCAGCAGCTAAACAGTGTTCAGGAAGTAATCCTGCCGCCTCCTGAATGTCTGTTTTTTAATTTGTTTATGTCAATTTACATTAGAACTAATGCCCTGCAAGTACAGACCAAGTATTTGAGTTGTGGTTGTGCCGTGAGGTGAATGACCCTAATAGCAAAGTTTGTCCTGTCAAATCAACATGCTGCTTTATATTTGCTGCAAAGCATTGCAGCATGTGATAAGCTGAACAGCTTTTCTGACTGTATTGTAAACCTTAGGTGGATTGTCAAGGGGTGCGGCGGCCCACCCATGTGGAAGTGGCCTAGAAAATGCTTGGGCTGTACATAAAATTGGGAGAGCTTTTGAATACACAGAACTTTAAATTTATGAGCTTTGTAAAAATGTAAGAAAAATAAGCTATGTTATGTGCCAGAGTTCATTTAACAGCACATGTATACCCAAGTTACACATAATAGTAAAGTGTAGCAGTATGAGGCATGAAACATCACAGAGCAAGGACATGCCCTCCTGTTCACACTTAATTATAGAAACATACATGATAAGACACAGGTGTCAAACACAAGGCCCAGGGGATGAATCCGGCCCTCCAGTTCATTTCATGTGGCCCTTACACCTCTCCAGCAGGTACCCCCTTGTCTCCGTCCCCACCTTGCCTCAGCAGTCAGCAGCAGAGAGGAGAATAGGGGACGAATCCGGCCCTCCAGTTCATTTCATGTGCCCTTACACCTCTCCGGCAGGTACCCCCCTTGTCTCCGTCCCCACCTTGTCTCAGCAGTCGGCGGCAGAGAGGAGAATAGAACTCCTCTGCCAAATGATGCACCTGTCAGTGCAGTGCAGCTGCAGCACCCCCTCATCTCTGCGTCCCCTGGTTTCAGCATTCAGCACACTCTGGTAAATGACTGCATTCCTCTTCTGGTCCTCCTCCAGACCCTGCACTTTCTGCTTTCCAGCTCTACCCCCAAAGGGGGTGCACGGTGATGTTAGGGAGGGTGTAGGATTCTTGACATCTGATGTAATGGGGGGGGTGAGGTGCTCTGGACATCTAGTCTTACAGATACAACCGGCCCTTTGAGAGCAACCATAATGCTGATACGGCATATATGAAATGGAGTTTAACACCCCTGTGATAAGTCTACAAACTCCATGTAGTTCATTCCCTGATGGGATTTGAACCCAAAATTTCTGTGGCACAATGCGCTCAACTGTAAGATCTATATCTTTATTTATATATAATATATGTTTGTTAAATATTATAAAAAGATAATATATTTATGTTTACCAAAATCACCAATTGGATGGGCTTCCGGATATGAGCCGTGAAAGTCGATCTGAGGAAATATAGGAGAGAAAATATTTCTCACAGTTATAAAACATACAGTATATCAAGAGTATGTCATCTCAAGAGAAAACGCATAGAGCAGGACAAAAAAGTGTGTGTGTGTGTGTGTGTGTGTGTGTGTGTGTGTGTGTGTATATATATATATATACACAGTTGTGTTCAAAATAATAGCAGTCAGACATCACTAACCTGGTCAATCACTGTTTTTGGTAGAAATGATATTTCTACATGGCAAATAATTTACTAGCAGGTGTAGTAGAGTAATAGAAATCCAACAGACCCAACAGTCATAACATGCATGCTGCTGATTCTGTGTAATTGAATCACTAATTGAAAGGGGCATGTTCAAAATAATAGCAGTGTGGAGTTCTATTAGTGAGGTCATTCATTCTTTGAAAAACAGGTGGCAATTATTGCCCTTATTAAGGAAGGAAGGAAATGTTGTACATGCCGGTTACAGTGCATTTCTCTCTGAAATTCTGAGGAAAATGGGTCGTTCCAGACATTGTTCAGAAGAACAGCGTACCTTGATTAAAATGTTGATTGGAGAGGGGAAAACATATAAAGAAGTGCAGAAAATGATAGGCTGCTCAGCTAAAATGATCGCAAATGCTTTAATATGGCAACCAAAACCTGAAAGACGTGGAAAAAGCGAAAAAAAGTACCATTCGAATGGATAAAAGAATAGCCAAAATGGCAAGGACTCAGACAACAATCAGCTCCAGGAAGAAGATCAAAGAAGGTCTAAAGTTACCTGTGATACTGTTACAATTAGAAGACGCCTATGTGAAGCCAAGCTATCTGCAACAAGCCCCGCAAAGTCCCACTGTTGAAAAAAAGACATGTGCTAAAGAGGTTACAATTTGCCAAAGAGCACATTGACTGGCCTAAAGAGAAATGGAGCAACATTTTGTGGACTGATGAAAGTAAGATTGTTCTTTTTGGGTCTAGTGGCTGGAGACAGTTTGTCAGATGACCCAAAAACACTGAATTCAAGCCACAGTACACTGTGAAGACAGTGAAGCATGGTTGCGCAAGCATCATGATATGGGGATGTTTCTCATACTACGGTGTTGGACCTATTTATCGCACACCAGGGATCATGGATCAGTTTGAATACATCAGAATACTTGAAGAGGTCATGCTGCCTTATGCTGAAGAGGAAATGCCCTTGAAATGGGTGTTCCAACAAGACAACGACCCCAAACACACCAGTAAACGTGCAACATCTTGGTTCCAGACCAACAAGATTGATGTTATGGAGTGCCCAGCCCAATCCCCAGATCTTAATCCAATAGAAAACTTGTGGGGTGACATTAAAAAATGCAGTTTCTGAGGCAAAACCAAGAAATAGAGAAGAACTGTGGAATGTAGTCCAATCATCCTGGGCTGGAATACCTGTTCACAGGTGCCAGAAGTTGGTTGACTCCATGCAACACAGATGTACAGCAGTTCTCAGAAACAGTGCTTATACAACTAAATATTCATTAAGTGATTCAAAGGAAAGCAAAATCTTCAAACATTTTTCAGTTTATATAGTGAATGTTTGGGTTTGTAAAGAAGAATACAAACACTGTTACAAACAAACACTTTGATTTGGAATAGAATGTGTAGTGTTCCCAATGCATTTGTGTGTATGGAAATAAAAGCTATTAGAAGGATTTTGAGCTTTATTCACTTTGTTAAACACACTGTTATTATTTTGAACACAACTGTGTAAATTTCTGAAATGGTATTACGCTATGCAGAGTGTTCTTTACTTTGTTCACATGTGACCTATGGAGTTCATTGGAACCTTCAGCTGATAAAAATGATATGCTGCGGAGTTTATCACATCTATTGAGTTTATAAAGATATGCTGGTATTTCACCAGTTTCTGGTGAGTTTTCACTTTGATGGGGTGTTGAGCACTGGATTATCTATTGGTGAAGGAAAGTCTAAGATTCCATAGCTTCATTGATTGAAGATCATATATGCTCTATAAGGACTTTATTTAATGGAATTTAATGAGGATCCATTACTGAGTTTTTTTGTTTTGTTTTGTTTTTTTTTTCCACCCATTATATTTCATTTGGTGGTGGATTAATAATAATAATATTATTATTATTATTAGTTCTTTTTTTTTCAGTTGTATTTTTATGAGTGATATTATTGTGGTTATATTTATTTATTTTCACATATTCAATATATTTTGGGTTATTGTTGTATAATAGCAGCTCCTATCCAAATAAGTATTTCCCAGGACTACATTCTCAAGGCGCGATGATATAGACTTTGGAATATATTGATCTGCTATTAATATAATTCACCAGGGTTTATATTATTTATTCAAACTGTAACTCTACCTGTGTTCATCAAGGTCCCAGCTGTACCAGAGCTGGGGGACTGTTTGCTAAAGCCTCACTGAGGATCTGGTCTGGGGAGTTTACTGGGAGAATGTCTGAGTGGTAAGAGTCCAGGGGCATTGTGATTACAGACCTGGGTGTAGGATCCTGGTGACTATTTCTACTTTCTTTTGTGCATCGATACTAGTGCTTACCTTGCATGAGACATTTCTGTTGATGTCTCGTACTGTCCATTTCTTTGGGCCTTGGCTAAAAGGACTATTGGAAGTAGGGACATAATGGAGAGTGTCCTCCGATCATTGTTCAGTTTTCATGGAGTATCCCACAGCTCCCTAAGCCCTTTCCTAGTTATTCAGCAATAAAGTTTAAAAAACGCAACCCCTATAGGGGAGCTCTACATATTTGTTAAAGATAGTTATTAAGAGGTTGTTGAATAAATTACCGTATCACCCAGTAAATGGTCTCCATTCAGTAGCCAAAAAAGGCATGCAAAAAGAGGGGGTTGTGAAAAGAGATTCACAAAGAAAGCGGCTACATTATGAACAGAATGTGATACTCAGAAAAATTTCCAAAAATTATGCTTTATTACACATACAAATTTGACATATGGGCAATCGCCCTGGTTTACCATCACCTCAGTATGAGACAATACACACAGACCTAAAAACCATATAAAATGACACCAAGACCGGTCTGAATGCATGTGCAACAAGGACAATGACTACAAGAGTCTAAAGTCCCTGTAGCACTGGCGCATAGGTGAACACTTCCCAAAGGAGGTGTATGCAAAAATTATAGCATAGGTATACCATAAAACGTGTTATAAATGTGTAGATAATGCTACTACCAGGATGGTTATATCCCAAACAGGGAGTTTCAAAAAAATTATACTATGGATATAGGTATCACATGTATGCAATACAGCAAGCACAGTATGCGTCAAAAAGAAGGCATGCCTCTAGGCCTATATGAGACAAAACATAAATGTCATATAAATGATGCAGTACATTCCTATGCCGGCACAAGTGGTTGGGGCCCATTCATCTGTGATATTACCAGCTGTTTCCTAGGGCTCTTGAATAAGCATATGCCCCATTTTTTACCAGGATGGAAGGATAGATGCATAAAGCAGCGCACTGCTTGAAATGGTTTCTTCACCACTACATGTGGACTACACACCACTTTCTGTAAGAAAAACAAGACACATCCCAATAGATCTTCTGCCTGTTGAAATCCTGACGAAGCTGAGTGAGATACGCCCATCGGCGAAACGCGTTGACGTCATACGTCAGATACGTCACTTCCGGTCATGCGCATTAGGTGGAACGCACGCTGACCTACAAGGAGGAAGCCATTTTCACATGCCATGAGGCAAGCCTAGGCAGCACAGGCGCCGAGAAGAGGCTGGAACCCGCGGTATATCGGCGGATGTCAGCGGTGGTTCCTTGGCCTCCCTGGCCTTGTATGGCAGTACCTATGAAGGACATCCTTTCCTCTCCTATTATCCATTGCACAGGTGGTGAGTGGACTGTTGCAGGACACTAGATATATGGTCCTATGTGACCTATATGACCTATATATCCTATATAGAGTGAAAGCTCTTTCAGTGACTTTCCACATATTGTTTGTTTCACTACAGGATGGGGACATCATGGTGCTTTATATAGGAAACAAGATATACCACATGTATTTCAACAGGCAGAAGATCTATTGGGATGTGTCTTGTTTTTCTTACAGAAAGTGGTGTGTAGTCCACATGTAGTGGTGAAGAAACCATTTCAAGCAGTGCGCTGCTTTATGCATCTATCCTTCCATCCTGGTAAAAAATGGGGCATATTCTTATTCAAGAGCCCTAGGAAACAGCTGGTAATATCACAGATGAATGGGCCCCAACCACTTGTGCCGGCATAGGAATGTACTGCATCATTTATATGACATTTATGTTTTGTCTCATATAGGCCTAGAGGCATGCCTTCTTTTTGACGCATACTGTGCTTGCTGTATTGCATACATGTGATACCTATATCCATAGTATAATTTTTTGAAACTCCCTGTTTGGGATATAACCATCCTGGTAGTAGCATTATCTACACATTTATAACACGTTTTATGGTATACCTATGGTATAATTTTTGCATACACCTCCTTTGGGAAGTGTTCACCTATGCGCCAGTGCTACAGGGACTTTAGAATCTTGTAGTCATTGTCCTTGTTGCACATGCATTCAGACCGGTCTTGGTGTCATTTTATATGGTTTTAGGTCTGTGTGTATTCTCTCATACTGAGGTGATGGTAAACCAGGGCGATTGCCCATATGTCAAATTTGTATGTGTAATAAAGCATAATTTTTGGAAATT